ACAAATAGCCTGTCCTATGATCATCTTGGCCATTCTCAATGTAATGAGCGGTGCCGACTTTCGATCTGGCTTCCGGTCAAGGACACTCCTCGCAGGAGGGTCTGTGGCCAATGCAAGGGCTGCAAAGGTGTCCATGATCAAATTGACCCAAAGGAGTTGGACAGCGTTAAGAACAGATTCCTGCTTGCTGCTTGCAACCGCTGAGACAAACGTCAATACCACGGCTGTAATGTTGACGGTCAGTTGGAACTACCATCATCCGATCAGCCAAATTTCACGGTCACCGTATATTCAAGCTCACCTGAAGGAACTTTTTGACAGAATCATTGACGGCACGACCCCACATCAAGCCCTTGACAATGGAAGCAAAGCTGCAAGTCATCAGTGATGTCATACTGTGGTATACGAACCGCTGACTTACTTGTCATCAAGAAGGATAATTGACGATGCCTCCTTAGCCACTTCTGTTCCAGCAATGCCCATGGAGAATCCAATGTCTGCCATCTTCAAAGCTGGCGCGTCATTCGTTCCATCGCCTGTTACTGCCACTGTTTCCCCGAGATCTTTAAGGGTACGGACCAGGATACGTTTGTCCTCGGGGCTTGAGCGGGCCAGCACTTGAAGATGTCTCACCTTTTGTTTGAGCTCTTCGGGTGGAAGCCTTCGAAATTCGGGGCCTTCCATCGCAATGCCACCTTCATCAGGACGGAAAATACCACATTCGGAGGCAATAGCAGAGGCCGTTTGGATATTGTCACCAGTTACCATTCTCACAAAGACGCCAGCCCGGCGACAGTCCTCGAGAGCACTGATTACAGTCGGTCGCAGCGGGTCTTTGATACCGTAGATTCCAATCAGCGTCATACCTTGGTGCACAGCATTGAAATCTGCGTATTGCGGGTTATCCGGGGAGACAGCTCCCTCAGGTGGCCAGGATTCGAAGTCGCGGTATGATGACCCGATGGTTCGGAGAGTCTGTCCTGCATAGGAGCTAATGACCATACCGATCATGTCTCGATCCGCTTCAGTCAGGGGGACGGACATTGTTTCCCCATGTGACACATTTTCGAGACACTTGGTACACTTTTCCAGCAGTATCTCAGAAGCGCCCTTTGCGTATGCGCGATACTTTCCACTGGACAGCTTAACAATTACAGCACTGTACTTGTTCTTGCTATCGAAAGGCACTGTCTGCACGATATTGGCAGAAGATCGTATCTCTTGGATTGGCCCGGCTCCTAGATGGTCTCGGCAATAGGCAAGTAAAGCAACCTCAGTCTTAGAACCGATGAATGTGTTCTGGCCATCCTGGTCACCTTCGAAGACCGTTGAGTTGAGCACATTGGACTGGATGAGTAGAGTCTTGACTTGTTGACTTAGTCCTTTCACGAAGTCGGCGTCTGGGATATTTGGTACAGTGAGAGCCTTCCGTTCGATGTACAAGGATTTGTCCATTGACGGATCAGTACCGCCGAAACTGGTTGTTTTACCAAGTGTGGCGGCAACGACCGTCATTTTATTCTGAGTAAGTGTCCCAGTTTTATCAGAGCAAACAGTCGTGGCATTACCCATCGTCTCGCAGGCCTTGAGGATTCGAACGAGATTGTTGTCGCGGAGCATCTTGACCGTCGCAAAGCTCAGTGCCAGTGTGACTGCCAAGGGCAATCCTTCGGGGACAGCCACTACAACAACAGTGACTGAGACGATGAAAATCTTCATGAATTCTTGGCCCTTCTCAGAGGGAGACCCGCGGTTTTTTGGAAGCTGAGCACAGAACTTGATGAAGAGCACGACGAATAACAATAGCGCGGCGCCAGCACCCACTTTGGCGATCCAATCTGCCAAGATGTTGAGCTTCTTCTGCAGGGGTGTGTCTTCCTGTTCGGTGCGGAGGGCCATTGAGATTCGGCCATAGCCGGAATTCACACCCACAGCAGTCACAAGAAACGTCCCATTGCCCTCGTTGACCTTGCTTCCCGAGATGATGAAAGGATCGAGCTTCTCTGCGTCCTTGGTATCGAGTTTCTGGATTGCATCGAACACATCTGCTGCTGGTGTCTTTCGGAGCAGATCTGACTCTCCAGTAGCTGAGGACTCGTCACACTTGACGGCGCTGCCTTGAATAAAGATGCCATCTACTGGAACGATGTCTCCCGTGGCAAGATGCATGACATCCCCGACCATGACGTCGTTGATGGATATCTCTTGGGATTTCCCTGAACGAATAACACTGACCATACGATCATTGGTTTTCTTGGTGAGCCGGGTGTACTGTCGCTGCATATGCCAATCGTTGATTGTACCGACCAGCACAACAATACTGTCCACTCCTGTTAGTGTTTCAAGTCTTGGCGTGACTGGAGCATTTACTTACACGATAGCAACGATAATTGCGACCCCTTCAACCCATTCAACTTTGGGTTCCCCCTTTTTATGCTCACCCCCAAAGGTTTGGTAAAGGCCTAGAGCTAGTGATATGATCGCCGCAATGGTCAAGAGAATGAGAACTTTGTCGTTATAGGTTGTCCAGGCGATCTCCAAGACGGATTTTGTCTTCTTATTAGGAAGGCGATTGTCTCTGAAGATCTTTTTTCGGTCGCAGAAAATCCCTGTAGGGTTAGGATCCTCAGGAGGAGGAATATGAACTGCTGCTTCAGCATTACTCTCCGGTATTGCATCACCAGCCGTCCCGTGTCTTGGTGTTCCTTTTGGCGCAACTTCGTGGAATGCGACCTCTCCATCCACGGTGGACTCATCGGTACTGAGGCCAGCATTACGATCTGTATGTAGTCCCTTCTCTATGCCATCAATTCCCCCAAGAGCATAAAAGGCGTTGAGGCTTTTGGGATTGAGCAACTTAGAAAAGTGGCCTGGGCTGAAAGCAAATTTGCTTTCCTCAGTTCTGAACATGTCCTCGGTGCCTGGGTCGGGAGTCAATGCATCTGAAGTGTCTAGGAGACAGGTTTTGGTGGCAGCATGGTCGTTTTCAGGGGATTTGGCTTCCTGCGATATATGAGGAGCTGCCATTTTGGCGATGGTGGTGAGCGCTGGAGCTTCAGGGTCGAGATTGATAATCGACTAACTCCTGAGAAAGCCTTGACAGCCTTTAAATAGGGGAGTATAAAAGCAGAACAAGAATGCCACGATTAAGAGGCCTCCCTTTGCATCGTGAGTGAAGTTTGTTTCTAAAGTCTCTGAAGAGGGGACGGGCAGGAAAAGCAAGTTACCGGGCGACTTATACACAGACACAGACAGTAGCACTTGCCAGTGATTGGTACATTGTGTAAGGCAGATTGTACCTACCTATGGAGGCAATGAGACAGATGGGACATTGCTAAGTTCATATAAAGTAGGTAGGTCGGTAGGGATGCAGCAGCGGTTAGATACATAATTAGTACTTGCTGAAGCAAAATAACCCTTGATTCATCCTTATTGTGGCAGGGTATCTATTAGATGATGGTTGCTAGCCTTTCTTTGCCTTGCCTAGGTACCTATTCTTGGTGCGCTGGCCCAAGAGTAAAGTATTTCCGTACGCAATGGCGCACTGCTGATATACCTTACTGGGTAGGAACAATATGTTAAGTTTTTAAGTAGGTCCTTCCTTGACGTTGAAGTGTGTAGTGTAAGTAATATCATGAGTTCACTTCATAAGTAAATAAAGATAAAGCTACCTTAGGTAGGTAGTTGATTATAAGTCAAGTATTCGGTAGAGATACGCAAACAAAGATGGGGACACTTGGGAGAAGGTCTCAAACATTGAACTCCAAACACGAGTAGTATGAAAAATGCCTGACAAACACACAATACGGTTCAAACAACCCAATTCTTGATGTGGCCAACGCACTCACCAAATAGCACTGGTTACACTTCTAGCCGAGGCGAGCCTTGCCCTGTATCCGTACTGTCACAAGCAAAGTCTTGCGAGAGCCTGCCATTAGGCGTGATTCCGTAGGTTCTCGACCTGCCACGACCTATGCATGAGGCAGCCAGTGACTAACTGCAGCAATTCAACTGGACCAAATATGTGAAAGCCATTCTCGTTATGCAAGAAGCCTTGGTCAACGCTCAACAAATAACAGTGCGTTAAGCTTGAGCTGTGACAGCACACCGTTTCCTTTCACAGAGGGGCCAGCCATGTACCAAGTGGCTTTTTTCCAGTCCGGATGGGCTACGTAGGACGTGGAAAACCTTCCATTATCCTTGCGGCCTTACATCGTTATCACCCAGATCATCCAGAACTATCGCCATACCCTCATAGTTCAGCAAGGCTTTTCATGATGTAGAGAAACACGTTCGAGAACGAAGCTGAGGAATAAGAAAGTGAGGAAGTGAGACTTCGTCACTTAGGCACTCTTCAGATACGACGGGTCAGAAGATTTATGTCGCTTACACCAGGGCACATCTACAACGTGGGCATACATCCTTTTGCCGTTTTACATGACGAAAGGTTGAAACAAGGCACCCTGCAGGTCATCAAACTCGAAACATCTACCAATGAGAGGGCTCCAGCTCAAATAAGCTCAATTAAGGTAGCAGGGATACTCCCTTGTCCTATGTGTCCAGTCTGTACTAGGAAGAGGTACTTCACAGCTTGGCTCCCACGGCCCTAGCGGAAATCTCCCCAAGAGGATACAGGCGTGCTTGGACAACTGTGATCATGGTTTGGTATGTACACCATCGAGTGAGCGTGATTAAACACAATCACATGGAATGGACAAGTCATGCAATGGTGCTCAATCAAGGCTGCATCTATGTATAGGTCGGAAATCATGTAGGTTAGAATTTACCCCCCAAAAGTAGCCACATGCATGTGGCGCTGCTTGCTTTCAGCCACTCGCAGCCCCTCCTCTAACTTGACCCCTCCAAGCCGATTTCCAGCTTTCAACCTGCTTCGGTAGCTGCCGAGCAGATTCCAAACCCTGTCCGACCACGTCCAGCGTCGGACTCAGGCGCTCTCGCGAATTGAATTGACTCTCCCTTTGCTCCATCTCTTTTTCGCGATGCCTTCGCAGCCTTCAAACGCGGGTATTGTCACCGACGAGAACAGTGGTGACCGAGAGATCCCGCAGTCTGTCCGCGCAGATGGCAGTACCCGTAAAGCTATCAAAATTCGTCCGGGATACCGGCCTCCCGAGGATGTCGAAGTCTACAAGAACCGCACTGCCGAGGCCTTTCGCGAGCGCGGTAAGAAGATCGGCATCCCAGGTGCCACGGGCTTGAAGGAAGAGAGCTCCGAACAAAACTCGGCTGCAAGCAACAAGAACGCCAAGCGTCGTGAGGCTCGGAAAAAGGCAAAGGCTGCAGAGGGTGATGCTCCAGCCCTTGCGGAAGAGACAAAGCCCGAGGAAGTCGATCCCGAAGTTGAGCGCGAGAAAAAGGCCCGAAATCTTAAGAAGAAGTTGAAGCAGGCTAAGGACCTCAAGAACAAGAAGGAAGGTGGTGAGGCTCTACTTCCCGAGCAAATCGCAAAGGTCATCAAAATCAACGAACTCATTAGAGAGTTGGATGCGCTGGGCTTCGACGCTGAGGGTGAGCCCAAGAAGGCTGCCACTGACGACGAGGGTGAAAAGAAGGACTGAGACAGTTTATGCGACTTCGACTCATGAATTATCACTGCAATTCAAGGTGCTTCGAACAGCCGCTGGGGTATCCAGGGCTGCGTTGCTGGGTAAACAAACCACTTCTCACCAGGACATTGAACCTCTGATGCCAAGTCGGATGACGAAGATACATATTTTTGCGACCCATACCCGACTCAGCATCATCAGCAGGCCGTCTCCAGCTATTTGAGGGATATTTTAGCCAAGTTCTTGGTCCTTGCCATCACTTGAATGTATCCTGGCCCTTCACTCTGAAATCGGCACTCCTTCTGCTCTTCCCGACACCTTGTCCATATTTAGGACAAGCGAGCAATGGGCACGATGCGCTATACGCGCAAGGCTTAAGGCTGGGTCGAAATGTACCAAACATCGTGTTTCTGAGTAAATTAGACATCTAATGAGAGTTGCGAAATTCCTCGATATGCAATTGTCTTTGAGCTTGGAGAATCGGCCACTAGAGGAAATGCTGAAAGTCTTTGTATCCACAAATGCCGTGCCGATGGTAGGTAGTCTGATATATAGGAATGTGTACCTATCCGAGTTAATTGTACTGTGCCTTTCTATATCTCCGTAACACATCTCCTTTGGTTTATCTCTTGTGTGTTGCTGCTCAGTCGAGGAATTCTGATGATAACCACATGATAGGCTGCCGCATCGAAATGACCAAGTTTTGTTGCATGATGTACACTGACCTAAGCACGTCTCATAGCAAAGAATCAATGAGCAGTGCATTCACTTCGATAACCAATTGTAATATGGAAAACCCAAATACAGCATCATCACGCATCACTGTTCCAAGAATGGACTGGGTGACGCAGGGTAGGCAGAAAAGCTCTGACAAAATAATCAAAACACATGGGTAGGAGTAGGCACAAATAGTGGACAGTTCAGGCTTACCAGTGAACTCAATGGTATTTAATGGGTATGCATTATACTCGAAAGAACAGATGCAGGTCAAATAGAAAATAAATCAAGACCTATCAAATTCTGTAGATTGTCATACCGTAGATATTCAGAGATAGAGCCATGAATTACATTGTTTTCCTCAACTACGTGGTTCCTTACCTCAGGTCCTCTAATGAGATACCTGGACGGGAGCTTTGCGCGTAGCAAATGCCGAGATTCTGCCGGTGCAACTCGAGCCCGCTAGTGGAAGGCTCCAGCTGGTGAGGTAAGCTCTCTATCTCCCATGAGCAACCACCATCACCATCCAATCCAAACACCTCTCCGTCAACATAAACCGAGCTTTCGATACCCGACAGACAACGCCCAAGACCAACGAATTGTCAAGAAATAAAGAAACATCAACAGTATACAAACTCACGAAAATAGAATCGGAATAAAGTGATTCACAATGTCTGCCGAAGACGAGCGCCAGGCTGCCCTGAACTCCTACCGCACGAAACTCATGGAGTCGCGAGAATGGGAGGCAAAGCTCAAGAATCTGCGCTTAGAGATCAAGGACATGCAGCGAGAGTTTGACAAGACCGAGGACAACATCAAGGCGCTACAGAGTGTGGGACAGATCATCGGGGAGGTACTGAAACAGCTTGATGACGAACGATGTGAGGGCGAACAACATATGGACTCGTACAAGATGATCGGATACTAACGGTTATACTCGCAGTTATCGTCAAGGCCTCTTCGGGGCCACGATATGTTGTCGGATGCAGATCAAAGGTCGACAAGCTCAAGCTCAAGCAAGGTACCCGTGTTGCTCTCGACATGACGACACTCACCATCATGCGAATGCTCCCTCGCGAAGTCGACCCCTTGGTGTACAACATGTCTCTGGAGGACCCAGGGCAAGTCAGCTTTGCTGGTATCGGTGGATTGAACGATCAGATTCGAGAGCTTAGAGAAGTCATTGAGCTCCCCCTCAAGAATCCAGAACTATTCCTCCGAGTAGGCATCAAACCTCCTAAGGGTGTCCTGTTGTATGGCCCTCCCGGAACTGGAAAAACTCTACTGGCACGAGCAGTTGCCAGCAGTCTAGAGACCAACTTCTTGAAGGGTATGAGTCACGCGCTGATATTATTCCACGAACGGTATCACTGACAATAAACCAGTTGTTTCTTCCGCTATTGTCGATAAATACATTGGAGAATCTGCAAGACTGATCCGCGAGATGTTTGGCTATGCCAAGGAGCATGAGCCTTGCATCATTTTCATGGACGAGATCGATGCCATTGGTGGCCGACGTTTCTCTGAGGGCACCAGTGCTGATCGTGAAATTCAACGAACACTCATGGAGTTGCTCAACCAGCTGGATGGTTTCGACTATCTGGGCAAGACCAAGATCATCATGGCAACCAACCGACCTGACACATTGGACCCTGCGCTTCTTCGTGCTGGTCGACTGGACCGAAAGATTGAGATTCCTCTGCCCAACGAGGTCGGACGCCTCGAGATTCTTAAGATTCACTCACAGAGCGTGGTAATCGATGGAGACCTTGATTTCGAAAGTGTGGTGAAGATGAGTGACGGGCTCAATGGTGCTGATTTGCGAAACGTGGTGACTGAAGCGTAAGTTTTCATCCCCGCACAGTAAAGGAAAAGAAGTTGAGCTTAATGAATCTGACATGCATACAGCGGTCTATTTGCTATCAAGGACTACCGAGACTCAATCAATCAGGACGATTTCAACAAGGCTGTTCGCAAGGTCGCGGAATCCAAGAAGTTGGAGGGTAAGCTTGAGTACCAGAAGCTGTAAGCGGCGGGAGGGTGTGTCATTCCAGAACAAGATGGATAGATATAACAGCGGAAAGGTGCATGGAAACCTAAGGATGATGGAAGCTGATGGACCCAGCGTTGCTAGGTAATCCGTGTAAGACTGTACAATAGAGTCAGGGTAAACCGCGATAGATTAGCTCAGCCCTACAAACAGGAATGTACATGGCGTCCTGGAAAAGCAGGAGAGTTCCCTTGCGACTATCACAAATGCATGTTTGACCAGCGTGAGATTCGTATGCCAATGCCTGCAACGTAAGCAGCCAGATCCTTTGCCATGAGTTGTGCCGCAAGGCGTTGATACAATTGGTGAGAGGCTACAGATACCATGAAACCACCACCTTGATTCGCAAGGCTGATTCTTCAGAGTGAGACTGTCGGTTGGCTCAAGTAAGCTCGGGAGGGAGTAAGATTATGAAATTATGCAAGATGAAGTCTGTTATACCATTAGTAGTCAAGATGAACGGCTGAACCGAGGAGGATAAGGGAGCTTATGGCATCTTTAAGCTTAGGGCTGAGGGGCATTTTCAGCTTGGCGTTCTTGGTTCTACAAAAGCCGACTTTTTTTTTCCTGACGGTGTCCTCTAGATTGTGTTCAAGATTTGTAGTTTTCAACACTCTTTTCCCGTGGGTTGTTAGTGCTGAAGAAAGGACAGATAAATAATTGGTGTAAATAGATTCCTTCTCACATAAACAAACAGCCACAGCAACAGGACTCTGACCAGGGTTCACGTCAAGCACCATCCTTTAATGATGACAGTGGGAACTTGCCCTGCTCAGCGGGGACGCTGTTAGGCCAACGTGGCTGATGTCAGAGAGCTGGATGGTCTGTTTCTACAGCTCACCCTTGAAGGAGAACGAGCGTATCCGTAATCTCTACAGGAACCCAAGTCTGAGGATAACGGCAAGGCTAACATGGAGGTCTCAGTTTTGGGAGACGATGACGTAGGTATAACTATAACGAGATGGATGCTAACAATAGCATCGCATGTTGGTTAAGGTCTGGAACTAGTTGATCGGCAACTCAACCGACGGCGGAAAGCGAATCAAGAGAAACAAAAACCGAAAACAAGATTGATAGGAATGAATGCTACGGAGAAAAACATGGGCTAGAATACATCGAGAAGAAGAAAAACAAGCCAAGAAGCGCGCTTGCACTTGAGATGGGAAACAACGCCGAGCGGAACGGAATTGGCGCTAGTTGGAACGGGTTGCTATTCTTAGTGAGGTTGATTTTTTTTCTGGTTGGGGCGATTGAGGCTGTGAAATCTTAATCAGTGAAGCTGAAGCGAACTGATTCAACTTCGAATCGACACAGGCACAAGCAAACACAAGGTATTGGATGAGAGACCCACGACCTAGGGACGATCCATCTGATGCTAGGTAAGGCTATCAATGCATCACTGCCCAGGTACCCATGGCTACAGAACCCCCCAAAGAAAGTCAGTATCAGCTATGTACTTGTTGTTGTAGTGATATTATCTATCTGTTGATCTTCAACTGCATAGACGCCATCTGTTTCAGAGTTGTCACTGTGGGAAGCAGCACAAGCTTCAGGATTGATTGAGGAAGAAGAAAACAACGGGCGAATTCAGGGGCACGCATTGCATATCTGCATATGTATGCACACCTCCACAGGAAGAGATGCAGGGGATCTACCAATGCCGACTGGTAGTTTCCGCGGCTTATTAACACTGAGTGAGTGACTCCCTGAGACCTTTGCTAGGCTACCTAGGTAGGCCGGGAGTCAATACGAACGAACAAAGGCGCAAGTGGGGGAGACATTTCTCGTATGGAGGCGCAGATCTCTCGCTTCACGATAACGCTTCCATTTCTCTTTCTGGCCTCTAAGTGGCAGAATGCAGAACGAGTTGCAACGAGCTGCAAGTTTCCGCTCTTCTGTTGGTGTTGACAAGGCTCGGGCTAGTCGGGAACCCCGTGAGGCTGGTTTTAGGTGTGCTGTAGGTCTAGTAGGTGAGGGTGGAGGCGGAGGAGTGGTGGATGACGATGTTTGTGGTGGGTACTGCAGATATGATAAGTGACAAACAACCAACTCAATGCATACAGATGGTAACATCAGAAAAGATCGTGGTTCGACGTGAGAAGAGTGCGGTGAAAGAAGAGAATTCTACTAGTAACTTCCCGCACCAGGTGCAAAATACAAAGTTCATAATCAGATTAGCTTTGTAGATCAGGAACTTGCCTGTGAGAGGTCACCATAATGGAATTGTGAGATCATTGTTAGTTCCATACATCTTGGGTACATCCACCTGTACATGCGGCTCGGCGAGATGCGTTGCCATGACGAAAGGTAGAGAGAGGTAAACGGCACCTAAGCTTCACGATCTAACTTGAACTGTGACAGACCTGGAGTTGCACCAGGGTGTTCAGGCACCGCCGCCTTCCAGGCCATGGAATTATTAAAGCGCGGACTAGATTCAGAGAGGCAAATAGTGATCGATATTCTTAGATATGCAGGGTACATACCTTAGGTCGTTACTATAGATTATTACGAGTATGAGCGAAAGGCATTGGAAAGCAAACCAGAGGCGGACCAGACTATGAAGCCTTGGTGTGGTTTTTGCTCTTGGACCCTTATGCAACCATTAGCCACGGCTGACAACGGCTTCCATTCTGTTCCAGCTAACGTCTCAACAGCCGCGAGCTACTGCCACGTCCACGATAAAAGATGCTGTGTAACAGGGCTCCATTGGTCATCTGTTGGTTCAGCTGTATGATGATGGCCAGTCCTCAACTGTACCTTGGACCAAGGTAAAGTAGGCACTTACCTTTGGCCAACTCAAAACGCATGATGGTGGTGTATCCCTGAACCATCTCAAACTGCGAACCGCCCCTCACAGTTCAGGGTCAGTTCCTATGGAGGAGGCGGTTGTTATCGATACCTATGTATGAGGTGTGCTCTGTATGCATTCTCATGATATTCCTCTACATATTGCCGCCCCCTTGTCTTGCCCACTTCCCGCCAGTTCGTTCGTTCCCCAACCTCTGTAAATAGACCAGCGAGCAGATAAAAATAATACCTACAAGCCGGACCAGACCAGACCAGACCAAAACCAAACCAAAAACATGGGAATCTCTCACCCCCTGTCTGGGCCCTGTCGAAAATACCCCCGCTACTGTCATCCTCAACCCCACTCTGCCCACTCTGCCCACCAAGACCGCAAGCTGCCTGCATGCATGCAGAGCAAAAGCGAGTGTGAGAGAGCCCCGACCTTGCTGAGTTGCATGTCACTTTTGAGTGATAACCATACCGGAGTGTACCTACCTACCACCTAGACTAAGCATTACCTAGTACCTAGGGAGAGCTTAGGTACCTTACCTAGCCTCCATGCTCACCTCACTGAGGGTGCGGGCCAGAGACTCCACACCATGAGAAGCTGGGACCATCTTCTACGGAGACCGCTCTGCCCGCCTTTGTCCTTTCGCCTTCACCCAATGTTGTAAGGCAAGTTACCTTAAGTTGACTTGGAGCTCAAACGACTACATATACAACCATCTCCTCCTCCCTCCTCACCTTTCTTGTTCTGCTCTTCTCTCCTCTTTCTCCTCCCTCATCTACACCTTATTGCTTCTTGATACCCCGTCATCAAAACTCTGCCGCCTGTTTCCTCTCTCTCATTCTCCCCCACACATATCCGCTCGCTATCGGCTCTGCTCTACTCTCACCGACCGTCTCTTAACGAACCCATTGTCCACGTTTTTCAATCGCAAAGAGCTCAGTCAACATGTGGTAAGGAAGCTTCCTCTTCCTCTCCCTCGTCGCCGTCACCGCCTTTGTTACCGCCCAGCCTTTTCGCCTGCCCCGCCAGCCACCGAGCTTCCACCGACTCTTTGCTTGCGACTGACGCAGGCTAAGATGGGATGGATGTTTATGGTTCAAGGCGATGGACGGCAGAGAAACGCTGGGCCCCCCAAAGAAAGAAGGAGTCCGGCGGCTCAATTGGTGGAACAAAATAACAATAGCTAACCATTACGATCAGTGGTATTTTCGGATACATCAACTACCTGGTGGAGAAGGACCGCAAGTTCATCCTCGACACTCTTGTCAACGGTCAGTAATTGCTTATCCCATGCTCATGTTGACAAGCACGAGCACAAGCATAATCATGGACTGTGCCCATGGTTTCCCCCTCCTCAGCTGCCCCTCACCACCCCTTTCATCAGCCATGCCCCGCCCCGCCATGCACTGGTGAGACGTGGGATCAGCGCCTAGATTCGTGTTGCTGACACAGCCTTTTGCAAAACAGGTCTGTCCCGTCTCGAGTACCGTGGATATGACTCTGCTGGTCTAGCCATCGACGGCGACAAGAAGAAGGAGGTTCTCGCTTTCAAGGAGGTTGGCAAGGTCGCCAAGCTCCGAAAGCTCATTGACGAGTCCGACCTCGACCTCGAGAAGATCTTTGATTCACATGCCGGTATTGCCCACACCCGATGGGCTACTCACGGTCCTCCTTCCACCACCAACTGCCATCCCCACCGGTACGTTTGAGAAAATCCGAAATTCCTAATCCGATAGCTTGACTCTCGATCTTTGCTGTTCCATTTTGAGGATGCGAAGATCAGACCTGAATCGGGAGAGTGATTTTGAACACGGTGTGCTAACTACAAACCCCTGAATGCAGATCTGACGTCAACTGGGAGTTCACCGTTGTCCACAATGGTATCATCACCAACTACAAGGAGTTGAAGACTCTTCTCCAGGCAAAGGGCTTCAAGTTCGAGACCGAGACCGACACTGAGTGCATTGCAAAGCTCACCAAGTACATCCACGACCAGCACCCCTCCATTGGCTTCACCGACCTTGCCAAGGCCGTGATCCAGGAGCTCGAGGGCGCTTATGGCCTTCTCATCAAGTCCGTCCACTACCCCCATGAAGTCATCGCCGCCCGAAAGGGTTCTCCTCTCGTCATCGGTGTCAAGACCGAGCGTCGCATGAAGGTCGACTTTGTCGATGTTGAATATTCTGATGAGAACGCTGCCCTCCCCGCCGAGGCTGCTTCCCAGAATGTTGCCATCAAGAAGAACGACCTTCTGTCTCCTGACGCTGGCCTTCTCGGTGCCGCCGACAAGTCTCTTCTCCACCGATCTCAGTCTCGTGCCTTCATGACTGATGATGGCATGCCCATGCCCACTGAGTTCTTCCTCTCCTCTGACCCTTCGGCCATTGTCGAGCACACCAAGAAGGTCATGTACCTCGAGGACGACGACATTGCCCACATCCACGAGGGCTCCCTCAACATCCACCGCCTCAAGAAGGCTGATGGCAGCTCCAACGTCCGAACCATCCAGACCCTTGAGCTCGAGCTCCAGGAGATCATGAAGGGCAAATTCGACCACTTCATGCAAAAGGAGATTTTCGAGCAGCCCGAGTCGGTCGTCAACACCATGCGTGGTCGTCTCGACATTGCCAACAAGACCGTCACCCTTGGCGGTCTCCGCTCTTACATCTCTACCATTCGCCGATGCCGCCGCATCATCTTCATTGCCTGCGGTACTTCTTACCACTCTTGCATGGCTGTTCGTGGTGTCTTTGAGGAGCTTGCTGAGATCCCGATCGCCGTTGAGCTGGCTTCCGATTTCCTCGACCGACAGGCCCCTGTCTTCCGTGACGACACCTGCGTCTTCGTCTCTCAGTCTGGTGAGACTGCCGACTCCCTCATGGCTCTCCGCTACTGCTTGGAGCGTGGTGCCCTGACTGTCGGTATTGTTAACGTTGTCGGCTCCTCAATCTCTCTCCTCACCCACTGTGGTGTCCACATTAACGCCGGTCCCGAGATTGGTGTCGCCTCTACCAAGGCCTACACCTCTCAGTTCATCGCCATGGTCATGTTTGGTCTGTCCCTGAGCGAGGACCGTGCTTCCAAGAAGGCTCGCCGCGAGGAGATCATGGAGGGTCTCTCCAACGTCTCTGCCCAGATCAAGTCCATCCTCGAGCTTGACTCCTCCATCAAGAAGCTTTGCGAGAACTTCAAGAACCAGAAGTCTCTCCTCCTCCTCGGTCGTGGCAGCCAGTTCTCCACTGCTCTTGAGGGTGCCCTCAAGATTAAGGAAATCTCCTACCTTCACTGTGAAGCCGTCATGTCCGGTGAGCTGAAGCACGGTGTCCTGGCTCTGGTTGACGAGAACCTCCCCATTATCATGATCCTCACCCGTGATGATCTGTTCAAGAAGTCACTCAACGCCTATCAGCAGGTTATTGCTCGCGGTGGTAAGCCCATCGTTATCTGCAACCCCTCTGATGAGGAGTTCAAGTCTTCTGAAGCCGAGAAGATCGAGATCCCCAAGACGGTCGACGTTCTCCAAGGTCTCCTCAACGTTATCCCTCTCCAGCTCATTGCCTACTGGCTTGCCGTTCTTGAGGGTCTCAACGTTGATTTCCCTCGTAACCTGGCCAAATCGGTCACTGTCGAGTAAGCTCGTTACTGTGTTTTGACTGATGGTCGATGTACAGTATGAGTTTTGGCGGCTGCTTGGGTTCCTCTTTGCTACCGGCAAGAGGCTTATGATGAAATTTGGAGTTGGGTTTTGGACTGCACCAATAGGCTTGCAAATGAACATGTTAGTCAAGCATTTTGTGTTTTGTCTACCTGGATAGTATGGAACTAAGTGTTTGGCAAAAATAAATGAATAAATGGGAGGCCAGGGACCAGGCTGGTCGTGGTCAGTATTAGATGGTAACCCTCGAGAAGAGGCTGAATAGGCACGTTGGCTTATTTACGATACATTAGTTCTAGGCAACGTAATCACGAATAGCAAGTCTTGCAAATTGAACATAAATTTGACATACAGGAATCATGAATGCTGCTGCTCTGCATTTGACCATGCAACGAACTGAACCATCGTTTGCTGCATAACTCGAGGTTCCAATTTCAGAAATGCAAAGTACAGATATTGAAACATACTCTCGAATGATGAGACGTGATGCGTTCTTACAACTCTTATCATTTCTCCTGTCTTGAGCTGTTCGTAGGCTATTGGATGAGAGGGAGAGGAAGGAATTTCATCGGTGGCTCATGGAAGTTCACTGCATATGGCCAAGTATCATCATCATCATGATTGTTCCAGCTGAATCTCTTCTAAAGTAGCAGCAACCAAGCCGTCTTGGCTTTTATCTTGTGCAACCTCACTAGTTGATTAAAAATGTGACTGGCTTCCTTCACTCGGTCCTCCCATTTCAGCACTTGCCACGGGATTTAGACAGTTTGAGTACCATATCCGCGAATTCTCTCGGCAAAGGCCCAGCTCTGAGCCTCGAGCTGCAGACCATCGGTAAGCTCCACTCCTTCCTTTGTGACTACAGCCATCGAGTAAGAGTCCAAACTGCGAGCGTCGCGGTAGTATAGAACCTTCATGCATTCCTTGATGATCTTGATAGCCTCCTCCTTCTCCAAGTTCTGAGCGGCCTCCTCGTCGGGAACATGACGACGCATGATAGGCTGGGCTAGCATGGAACCGAAGCCCGTAGCCAGACTTGGGGCACTGTAGGTACTGCCGAGTAAGTCGGCAGCGGCAAGGAATGGCTTGTCATCGTCGTCGAGGCCAGCAACAAGGAGATGGTTCCACAAGGGGTCGAACTTGGAGCGTCGGCGGTAAAGCAGCTTAGCGAGGTAGCGGTGGAGGTTTGCGGCGTTGAGGCGGGGAGCGTCGGGGGATGTGTAGGCCTCGTCGAGGGAAAGGTCGATGAGATGGCGGTCGAGATACTGCATATCGGAAATGTCGCCGCTGAAGCCAACGACCGAGGACTCGGCGAAGGAGCGAAGTCGCTTGACATCGGTGAATCGGGCCAGAGAGCCGTATGATGCTGGGAGGGATTAGCTTCTATTCAGGTATCGGCGCTGATACAACCGACCTAGGTTATCAGCAGCCATGACAACTCCGTCCTTGAACTTGACGGCGATGACGGAGGTACCAGTGACAATGGGCTGTTGGGTGTTTTGCTTGGGACCATTATCGGCCATGAAAGAGGCATCGTAGGCACCGTAAACATCGTCTCTAGGCTAATGGAGGTCAGTTTATTGTAATTGGCCATGCTTCAAGTTGTAGTATATGGAAGCACATACACGACCCCAAGCTTGCGGACGGTGATCCATGGTCTATGCAGTCGAATGAATTGGGAAGTGAGAAATGTCGCAGGTGTTCGTTACTCTGGTGTGAGGATATAAGACCTTCGGTATTTGCAGAGTACAGATTTCGTCGCCTTCAGTGTTGATGAGTAAGTGATGGAGTTGAAAGAGCTAGGTAATGTTCATTAGTCCAGCCTTGCTTGACTTGACCTCACTCACTGTCGCGTCCAACGGCAGCCTGCGACCAGCAGATGAGGTGAATGTGGAGGGGCGTTACATAAGCCAACTCTTGGGGTGGTGATTGGTAGGACCGGCAAGCTGCAGGAGCTGTAGCTTGTGAAGTAGAGAGTACTTAGCGTACTAGCTATAACGCATGCGGTTGAAACGTACCACTACCAAGGAAGCTCTTGCATGAAGTTGAGCCCACTCTCGCACCTGCCCACCTGCCCACCTACCATGGCCGGCACTGGAATTAGAAACTGCCCGCCCGCAAAGCGCAAAACATGAGGTAGGCGCTGTCTACCTTGGGTCAACACCATCAGCCTCATCTCGACTAGACCAATTCCTCACCGTACACAAACTCAGCCTTGCAGTCAATCGCCGCCGCCATTGTGAATCACTTCGCTCAGATCAATTCTCTTCCACTCAACCGTAACAAATACCAAAATGCTCACTTCCGTGGGCCGGGCCGCCGTATGTCGCGTTCAGACAGCCCGCCTTTCTGCTTCCGCTCCCTCTGCCGCTCAATTGCTCTGCCGCCAGTCGGCCATAAAGACTACACTCCCCATTCGAAGTTTCACCGTCTCAGCATGGTCCCCCTCTCCTGCCTCCGGCGATAAGAAGGCCGCCAAGAAGACGACGACCACTACCACGAAGAAGGCTACCCTCACCACCAAATCCAAGTCTAAGGCGACTGATAGCAAGGCCAAGTCCCAGACCAAGGCGAAGCCCAAACCTAAGGCTGCTGAGCCAAAGCCTAAGAAGGTCAAGAAGGAGGTTGATCCGGAGAAGGTCAAGAAGCTCGAAATCCGGGAGCTTAAGAAATGGGCGCTCAAAGACAAGCTGGCTCTGCTTCCGGCCAACACTTGGGTACTTTTTGCGTCCGAGAACAAAGGAAACCTCTCAGGAACTGGTGGAATCACCCAGCAGATGACTGAGCTGTCCGAGAAGTTCCGTCAACTGACCGAATCCGAGCATGAAGTGCGTCACGCCCTTTCCCCCTCCCTTTACTGAATGAGCTAACACGAAGTTTAGGACTTCCATCGCAGAGCCGTTGCCAACCGCCAGAAGAACCTAGCGACTTATAAAGCTTGGGTTGAGACTCACGAGCCGGCGCGCATTTACGTGGCTAACAAAGCCCGCCGCCGCCTCTCTTTCCTAACTGGCAAGCCTTACAAGCCAATCTCAGATGAGCGTCTGCCCCTGCGCCCTTCAGGCTCTTATTCCCTTTACCTTGTCGACAACTGGAACAAAAGCCATGCCGAGACTAGCCAGACCAAGTTCAAAGAAATCAGCGAGTCCTGGAAGGACGTGAACCCTACTGAGAAGGCCCTATATGAGCAGCGCGCCGCTGACGAATCTGTCAAGTACAAGGCCGAGATTGAGAAGCTTGATGCGCGCGCAAAGGTCATCCAGGAAACTGGACTTGCCTAGGGAACCGAATATGAGGGGCTGCCACTTAGATTAGAGAGAAATTCCATGCACAAAGGACTGTTTCGTGAGCGATCGCTGTTGTGCAAGTATAGGAATTCAATGTGTTTATGATCTATTTATGGTATGGTATTGATCATAAAGGGCTGGGGTTCAAGGGAATGGTAACGGGGACTTTGTCTGGTCTGGCTTTTGTCTACTTTTGTTCTTGTTTGTGTTTGTACTGGATCGTGTAGAGTACGACGGCCCTGGTTAAGACATGGCATAACCCAGACTCAGCTGAGCTGGCAGTCACTTGGGAATAGCTGATAATCAAAGGCTCGTGTAACCCGCGTTTTGTCTATCTATGCCGCCTTATAATGTCGAGGGACCAAGCTTTGCAGCTCTATCTAGTTGCGATGATTGATGACAACCGTTATCTGGACCAAAGAAGAAGAAGAAGAAGAAGAAGAAGAAGAAGAAGAAGAAGAAGAAAGAACCGACAAACGCCTCGCTTATGATACGAAGATTCTGGTCATCCCAGGACGCCAAGTCGCGTTTAATATCCAAACTGAAATATGGTGCAAGCACATCCGACTTATCCCTGCTTCTCATAAGGCAGGATTTCCAGAGCAACTTCACCATCTGCTCCATACCACTTCGCGCCGCTTGTCTTGACCTGTCTTGCACTTGCAAGGTACAAGAGCAAGTAAGTATGTTTCGCGACGTGGCCCCAGCAATATAAGCGTATCCAGTCGTGGGTTCTGTCTCTACGGCACCAGGTTCCCCAACCCGCCAAACCACTCTTGAGATAATTAGCGAGGAAAACCCAAGTGTCAAACCGGACATCTGGGTCCCAGCCACTGCAGTTGATAAGCCAGTATCCTCGTTCGAAGGCTTCGATATCGCGTTTTATCGTCGGACGATATCTCGACGACAGATCGCGGGCGAGTTTCGCGAGCTTCTCAGATATCAAATCTGCAGGATCAATGTCGTCAACTCCCACGGGTGGCGATGGTGGCCGGATTTCCAAGCTACTGCTGACTTGTTCTCCCTGCGAGTTTCTTGCTGACAGAGCTGGCCCTGTATCGCTAGAGCTTCTGACTAGATCACCATGCTCCAAGTGCCCGATCTTGGACCGTTTTGATAGTGGGGGTTCCGACCCTGCACGAGGCGATAGAGCTGGCGAGTGGCTGCTAACCACGCTGCCAGAAATATGAGTGATATCTGGGGCTAAATGATCGAAGGCTATCACCTCTGTATTCGCCGAGGGTATGGGAACTTCTGCTGCTTTGTCTGCTTGTGGCGTCGTAGGTACGATATTTGTTATCTCAGGAGCCTCGAGAGGCCAAGTTTCTTCTTGACTGTGAGGTGGTAGGGAAGAGGGGATTTCGACACTGTGTCCAAACTCTGGTACCGGAGGACGCTTCCTAAGCGCAGTCGGTGACGAGTATGGTTCCAGCGATGACCGAGTTCTTCGGACGTAGCTCTGTAGTATACGTGACGGTGAAACGTCCAAGAGCGCAGCATCTGGCATGGGATACGAGTCACTGATTTGACTCGCAGGTGCACACCACGAGTTGATTGACCCGGAACCAGTATGGTCTGATGAGGGGATGGCACTCGGAGCCAATGCCTCACGCGGTAGACATGGTGACGATCGATTATCTATAGCGCCTTCGAAACTTAGATCTTGGGATGTGATCTCGAATGATCGTCCAAACGAAGTTGTTACCCTGGTCTGACTTGGCGATGGCAACCCTTGATATCTTTCTGGCACACGCTGATCTTCCTCAACTGTTTGCGACTCTATCACGGGCAGTTGTGTGCGCCTGTGAGGCTTAAAGGCTAGATAAGCTTGGGCAAGTTGCCGATATGAAACATCATCGGTTGACCGACTTGGTGCTGTGATGTGGACAAGAATCTCTACCCCGTCCGAGCTGTTCCTTGCCATAGTTTGAATGCCAGTAAAGCATATCGACTGCTTCTCGCCCAAAAACACTGTTTCCCAAGAGAAGAGGAGTAACCGTGCTGAAGAGAAGGGGGAAAAAAAAGGTGCCCCAAGGTCGATATTGGATGTTGTTTATATCCAAAGCGGTCCAAAATATCAAGTAAAAGAGAGCACGAGCCAGGTGAGACAAGGGTGAATGTACATATATGGAATGAAGTTGTAGGCGGGCAAAAAGAGAACAAGAAATAAGAAGAGTGGTTGTGGTATTCCCAAGAAATTAGGAAAGGCGAGAGAGTACAGAGAGGGAGGGGAGAAGTGAAGTCTCGTGACACACGATATCGATTCACGCCGTAGACGTACAGAGGTAACTTAGGTAGTTGATGAAGCCGCTGAAGATTTAAGGAGCTGGCCCACTGATTGGTTGCTACAGTAGGCATCTAAAGTTGTGGAGTTGTTACAAACCCCACCATATTCCCATTAGCCTAAGATGTCAGCCACACAGAAGGGGACCCCTGCTCTCACCACCAAATTAGCTCTATCCCTACAGTGGCCGTACCCCAGGATATCATCAAGAGACTCTCGCTCTGGCTTACCCTTCACACCTCCTCGACTCCTACTGCTACCGCACTCTCACGACATACGCAGGCAGAGCAGACACGCACACACATACACACCACTGACGATGGCCGAAAAGACAAAATCTAGAGGTCCTCTTGGAAGAGTTGTCGTCATTGGCGGCAATGGCTTTCTAGGCCATCACATCGTCAACCAGGCCCTTGAGCAATGGACGACCACTGCCACGATCGGCGTCGACCTACGATGCGAACGCAATCGCAATCCCAAGGCCGAGTACCGAGAATGCGACATCACCGACCCCGAGAGGCTTCTCTCTCTATTCGAGGAGCTCAAGCCCGACGTTGTCATCCACACAGCTTCTCCTGTCGCTGTCAACCCCAATATCGGTCATGATGTGTTCAAGAAGGTCAACGTCGACGGTACACAGGCTGTTGTCGATGCCTGCCAAAAGACGGGCGTCAAGGTTCTTGTGTACACAAGCTCTGCCAGCGTCATCAGCGACAACGTTACTGATCTGCTCAACGCTGACGAGAGGTGGCCTTTGATTCGTGGGGAGGCGCAGACTGAGTATTATTCAGAGACCAAGGTTTGCTCACGCCACATTCAGGTCGTCCCAGGCTGTCTCGCTAACAAGGTATCGCCCCAAGGCACAAGCAGAGGAGATCGTTCTCAAGGCCAACCGCCAGGAGGGCTGCAAGCTTCTCACGACTTCCATCCGTCCCGCCGGTATCTTTGGCGAAGGCGACGTCCAGACTCTCGCAGGCATTCTCAACGCCTACAAGCGCGGCAAGCACACGATCCAAGTCGGCGCCAACGAGAACCTCTTCGACTTCACCTATGTCGGCAACGTCGCCCATGCCCACCTCCTCGCTGCACAGCTCCTACTCGCCACCGCTGCCTCTCCCACTATCCCCCTTGACCACGAGCGTGTCGACGGCGAGGCTTTCTTCATCACAAACGACACACCTGTGTACTTCTGGGACTTTGCCCGTGCTATCTGGCGTGCCGCCGGCTATGATAAGGGTACGGAAGGCAATTGGGGTCTCAACCGTGAGGTCGGCATCGCCATCGGCTATGTCAGTGAGGTTCTCGCCAACATTCTCGGAAAGACACCCACACTCACTCGCAAGTCTATCATTATGAGCTGCATGACCCGCTACTACAACATCAACAAGGCCAAACGTGCTCTGCGCTACCAGCCTGTCTGGTCTCTGAAGGAGGGCATCGATCGTGGCGTGAACTGGTTCCTCGAGCAGGACAAGGCGGCTGCTGCCGCTGCCGCTGCCAAGGCGTAATCTTACTAGTAATGAGAGAAACGAATAAGAGGGGGTTCCCTATCTAAAGGAAAGGAGAGACGCGAATGTGGTGCAAAAAAAAAAAAAAAAAACACCCTCATATCCGGCCACAAACAGTATATTTTGGCCTAAATATTCAATCTGTGATATCTTTAATTATATATCGTTTAGTCTACCAAAGATTCAGCTTCAAGTACATTTTTAATCTCGCTCGCACAACAAGACACCCCAGTGTGACATGATTCAAGTAGCCGAACCTTCAATTGGAATATAGTCTCTTGTAAATATCGGCACCATATCCCATGATTTGAACAAAATAATTGTAGTTGTATCCAAGCAGGTAAGACCAAGGTCCAGTCATTCAGTCGTAAGTATCCAAATGGAACATGATCTATTGTTCCTATCTCGCTTGCTGTCACTTACATGCGTGACCAAGATCCCATCTGATCCCAGAATGAAACCAACATATACTAAGGTAGTTTGCATCCTCACATCTGACCCAGCACACACGCATGCACTTTTCTTTTGCACGAGGAGTCAATGACCCCCTTCATCCTGATCTCGCCTCGCCTCGCCTCGCTTTGCCCCCTCTCAACGCTCCAATGGGAATCAACCCGCTAACATGGTTTACTCCATCCAACTCAGGTATAGAAGAAGATAGAAAGAGAACTGAAGATAGTAAAAAATAAAAAATAAAAAAAACGTAACAACACCCTTTCTTTGAGCCCCTTTTTGTTTCGTAAGAAAAAAGGTATAGACCTCCCCACCTTCCCCTGCTCAAAGAACAAACACTAAACCTCAGAGAAGATGGGATTGGCAGACATGTATCTCTCATGCCATTTAGGTGGCGGGAGCTTGAGGAGAACGTGGCATGAAGTTGAGTGTCGAGAAGGGAATAGTAATAGGAGCGAGATCATCATCTCAGCGTCCCAGAAGAAAGAAGAAAACTACCAGGTTTGTCGTGTCGTGTGGTGTAGAAAACGATGAATGCCAAGGGTTTTGTGATTGGTAAAATGCTTTTTTCCGGTTTGTTCGACAGTTATATGCTCTGATATAGCATATATAAGCCTGTGGAAGAAGCGAAGAGGAACGCCGTCGACTATGCAAATAACTCTCTACTCCCAAATCATACCTCCTGAACTGCATGTAGAATAACGAAACGAAGCTTGACGCCGGGCGTTTCCGGGCCCAGCTGTAATCAAGAATATCATTGTAAAAAGACAAGTATCATGAGTTGCCGGACACACCAAGTCCGCTGCCTTGACGTCCCATACCAGAGTTACGCCATTCTCGCCTCCTGCTGTGCTCGGCGCTATCGAGCTGACTGTCCGACTGGTTGAACTGGTTGACCCCATAAGGCGAAGCATTGCCCAGATCGTTTCGTCCTCGGAATCGCGCCGGGGGAGTTCCATGCCCATTGTTGGGGTTGGGCATTGAAGGGTCTTGTATCGTGCGAACAGTGGCTTCACCCTGCCAAACTGCTGGGTCAGTTTCTACTCGCCGAGCTGGTGGTCGGGTGGAGTTATCCTGACGGTTGTAGACCTCATTTACATCAGCAATAGAAATCTGTCCCCGTCGATCTTGGAAACGCTTCAGAATATCCTTTGTCGTGAGGTCCCCACTGTTGGTAAAGATATAAGGGTCGTTCATGAGACCAAGGATCTCATCAGGAACCTAGAAAAGGTCAACGTAATGGTCACAACCCTAAAGAATGCCGATTCTTACCTGGCACATTTCCTCGATATGTGTGATCATCATTTCCACGGCATCAATAACATACATAGCCTCGCTATCTAAAGCAGGTGCCCTGTTGGGGTTTGTTAAAATATTGGGCGCAATGACGGTGGCAAGATTTCTCGTATCCATCTTAGAACCAAGGTCTTCATCCAGCTGGTGGAACGTTCCAGCCCACTTCAGGAAACTGAACAGAATCTCAAGACAGTCTCGGTGGCTCTTTGGTAGGAGACAGCAGGTCAAGTGCAGGCACCGCTTTCTCTTCTCAGGGTCCGAAATCTTGGCTGCACTGATCCATAGCCTGTATAGCTTGTGAGTCATCAGCGGATCTGGTAGATCGCGCAAGTAGCGTTTGAGAAGCGCAGCAAGCTGAACCACGGGCTGTTCCATAAAGTTGACCACGTCACAACCCTCGGCGTTGATGGTGTCCACCAGGCCTTGCTGCTTCTTGATGTTGCCATTCTTTCGGAACACGCCCTCAACCGAGAGATCCATCTTACGCATCGACGATACAATGTCATCAATGACAGCTGGGATTCGGAGCGTGCCCGGACCAACACCGTCTGTCGATTCCGCACCATCCCTTTCTATGATGATCTCGAGAGGTACACCGAACACCCCCTTTTTCTTGACGTTCTTGCTCTTATCATTCTTGAAGGCTTTCCCGATATTCTTCCAGAAGGTCGCCTGTTTACGCGACTCAATGAAGCTCAGTAGTTCTTCCAGTGAGAATTCTTGCTCAATCATGGGCTGCATGGTGAGAACAGCAAGATGGCGGACGTTAAAGTACTCGAGACCAGAGAGTTCAGAGAAAAACTTTCGCCCAATTCGCTCTTGCACCGTTTCGGTGCGCTCTCGTTCGGCTGACTGCGTCCGCAGATGACCCTGGTTTGAAGAAGATGCATCTAGCGATCGATCTTGAAAAGGCTGTGGTGCTTTCTGCTGCAGATCTCGGGACTGCTCGACAGCAACTATCCTCGAGATATCATCCAAAGTGATACCATCATTTTGTCCAAACATGATGTCGGTCGAGCCTTGTGCACCGTGGCCCTGCCCAGCATCACCAGATGAGCCTGGGCGAGGGCCCTTTCCATCAGTGTCCATCACTCGAGAGCTTCGGGCTTGTCGAGCACTAGACGACAGGTGCCTATCCAGTCGCGTACTGCGTAGCCTGCGTACATCATTAAGAGTGTTCTCATAAGACGACTCTCGTTTGCTGCCACCGGGTCCACGTGACTGTGAGTCTCCTCCTCTTGACCTCGGGTCACTTCCCTGACCATCGCCTGTACCATACCCGTTATTATCGGTGTCATCTTTGGATCGCGGGAGGGTTCCATTAGCTTTAAGAATATCCAACAGCCGAGCCAATGCGACTCGAAGTAGAAAAACATATTGCTGTAGTTTCGAGACGTGCTCGAGTGGTAAAGCATTGGCTCCAGCACAGTTGGTGCAGTATATCTTTCGATCCAATGCGTTGAGACAAGCCTCTTGTAACGATCGTCCAACCTCTCGCCCGCACCTCGTGCACTTAACACAGTTCAGGTGCCACCTCAGGTCGCCATTCTTGGCACACTCATCCTCGACAGATCTGTGGCAAAGAGAGCAGTGGTCAGAGTCGTTGGCAGAGAGCTTTCCGCCACTTGCAGTCACCGACAGCTGACCGTCATCGTTCTTTACTGCGTCAAGGTCACTCAAATCGTCTAGGAACTGGTACAGGCCGGTAGATGCGCTAGCTTCGCGCTCGAGACGGAGGGCACCTTGAAGGCAGATTCGAATTAGAAGTTTGAGATAATGGGCAAGACCTGTGACGAGGGACAGCAGCTCTTGTGTGACACCGAGTTTGTGAGTAGCGTTGTCTTGTGTCTTGGAAAGTAGAGAGAAGAAGGAGACAATCTTCTTGCATAATAGTTTGGCTTCTCGCCCGTATGACATCCCTAATCAGAAAGTCAGATCTCGTGCATCTCCCATTCAAAGTTGGATAGACTGTACCTTTTTCATTCAAGCCCACCATGGTCTCATCTAAGCGATCTGCTGACTGGAACAAGATCTCAACATGCCAGATAAAGCGCTTTGCAACAAAGACACCCTCAACATATGAGCCATTGCTAACATGAAGCAGCATGTCAGAAATGCAAGCAGCAGAGGACTCTTCGAAGGTTGACAGTACGCTCCATATACGGAACACCTTCTCTTCCATGCGCTCTTCCTCCACGCGGATAAGATCTCTGCCCGCAGCATCGTCCGAACTTTCCAGCGCAGGTCGCGCGTCCGTGGGTTGCGCTAACCGCACATTCCAGAATTTGTGAATCATGTAGCACTCGGGGTGCCAGTGCTGGTTTTGTCCATTTCTGAAGATCTCGACGAACTGCTTTAGAATGGCTGTCTGGCAGCCATTACACTGCTGCGCAAACTGTGTGGAATAATGATAATGGCAGTAGACGTTTCCGTCATGTTCGTAATAGCTATCCTGAGCGCCGAATATTGTTGAACATAATGAGCAAGTAAAATGATCGACGTGGTACTTTCGATCTAGGGCCGTGATATAGGAGCCGCGGAGCGCTCCCCCGCACTGGTAGCAAAGGAGGCCAAGTCGACGAAAGTAATCGGTTTCGCACAGAGGATATTGTCCCCGGCCATTTTCGTCTTCAGCAGGGAAGAATTTTGAGGCTACTATCTCCCCGCAATCCTATTAGTCAAAGATTAGTATCTGGCCGTGATCGAGGAGAACAGGGCCGGCCTGGGGGTTCGCACCTGGCACTTGAAGCAATCAAGATGGAATGTTCCATCAAGAGCTCGCACAAACTGACCCGTCAAGGGCTCACCACACGCCTGGCACGTCCTCGTCTGGCCGCTGGCGGATCTTCCACTTCGACCTCGCGATCTGTTCCGCTCAGCACTTTTGCGGGGCGGCTGGTCCTCAGCCCATCCTGGGGGATTCGGTGTACCTGGGGCGGAGGCGGGTGGCCGCGGTCGATAGCTACCGTTGTCGGGTGTGCGAGTTCTGTATATTTGACCACCGTTCTGCCAGTTTGAATCGGCATGCGGGGGCATGTCCTGGGCGTGATAATCGTGGGAGTGTTCGCCATGGCCATGCTGGCCGAGCATGGCGTCGTCGTAGCTCGACGCCATCGTGAAAGCAATGCAGGATGTCGCTATAACACAATTCCCCCTCCTCGCTCCAAACCAGTCAAGCACGAATGGCCTATCGAGACCAAATTTCCAGCAAAGGTCGACAGGCGTTTGCAGCGGTCGGCATCAGCACCAGC